ATGCCAGGCAATATACAAGGGAATCTAGATACAATAAATGTGAGGAGTACATTGCTAAGAAAAGTTGGAGAAGAAAAAATAAAGCAATTTCCTAGAAAAGAGATATTACAATTCCAGACCCCTATACTCTGGTAGTCTGTAACTAAAATTATCATTGCTGTTATAGGACAAGCTATGTGGACCAAAAAAGAGCAATGATTTTCAAACTGACCAGTCAAATCAATGGGGCAACAACTTTTTAAGTCTGCCAGTCGGTTAAATTTATTAATTAGACAATTTGATCAATATCTGGTTTGGGATGGATTCAAAATTGGTATCTTCAGTAAAATAAATTGACTTGATGAATGTTTTTCCTTGAATGAAGTGGTTGTTTGATTTGGAAAGTTGATTCTAGCATATTTCAGGATTACAGTGAATATGACTCATAATTCCAGATCAGCAGTTATGTGACCCCTAAGGCAGATGATTACCTTCACTGTAGCTTATCTGAAGGAAATAAATAATAATCAGCTGATCTTCTTTCGGGGCTTCATGAGTCAGCAGCTAAAGCCTATTAATTCTTCCATAGATATAGCTTTAAACATTCTGGGTCTTGAAAAGAGAAAGGAGGGAGGCGATCTTTTTGATTTTTATCAGTTACTATTCCTCTACAATAGTGACTACCTGATATTTACTCTGAAAACCAAGGAAAACACTCTTGTTACTCCCTGTCACCTGTTTACTGAAGAGACTGGAGTCTAAGGCATTTCAGCTCTTTTAAGCCTGGGTTGAAAATTCATATCATGTTTCAGATCGTCATGCCTTCCCAGGTCAAGAGCAGCTTGCTGTGCAAAGGTCAGTTTCACAATTTTACCCAGTTTTATCCTCACCTGTACTTCACTCCTACAATCTTAAGTAAAAACTGCATTACTTTGAAGTTGAAGGTTGCATTCAGGCAAGCAGAGCAGCTTACTCCCACCCTGAGTTGGAACAGATAATGGATTCTACAGAGCAGGTGTCCAAGTGGCCAAGGTCATCGTACAATGAGTCAGTGTAAATATCCAAATTGCAGTTGTGGACAAACTCAGCACATGACAGGTGTAGTTGATGAGTGTCCTTTTGTCTAGCTGTCACAGTGGTCTGAGGACACAGAACAAATCAAATGAAAAAGGCTGTGCCTGCCTTAGAAGGTTATGTCTTCACTAATCCTGTAGCAACCAGAAAACTGGCAGTACTTTGTGGAAATCTCTGCACTGATTTTGTTTCTCAGGAGCTATTTGTTCAGGGAAAAAATGGAAAGTGGAAAGATGAAGTCAGTTTTCTCCTGACATTTCCAAGGATGAGTACTTGTGAAGGAACAGTCAATCCAAAGAACCTAGAAAGTCCTTCAGAGTTGAGAATGGAACATCACAACTTCAAGAAAAAACATAAGTAAGAAATTCAGAAGACTTGGCTCCTGGGAAAGAACAGGAATTATAACCAATATATTACAAATTCCTGATTCTCAGCACTGCACTTAAGTTTCAATTTTAGACAAAGCCTGAAATTCGAAGTCAAAGGCATCAAATATGTGTGAGGTGTGAATGATTACTCACAGACAATGGATTTAAGTGTCTAGGATTAAAAAATATGTAGTTGATGAGAGAAAAGAATGTAAAACAAAAACTCTTGAAGGATATCGTGCCAAGGTGCATATATTAAAATTAGTTTATAGCACTATTTATTTGTTTCATGGGTGAAAAGGTTAGCATAGTGTTAAATGCTTTGCTCAATGTCAAATCATTAGAAAATAAATAGGTGTAAATTCAAGTTACTTTTTATTTTAATATAACAGAGGAGTCAAAACATTTCTGTAAATGGCCTTATTGAAAGAAAAATAGAATAACTCTTCTAAAGATTTAGAACAGAGTGTACATACTCTTTTAAAAAAAAGAATTTTGTTTCTATCTCACAAATGAGAAAGCTGAAGTTAACTGATTTGTTCAATGTTATATCTTTAGAGTTAAAGAGCACAAATTCAAGGCCAGGTCTTTTGACTTTTAACCCAGTTTTCTTGTTACTTTGCCACAGTGCTTGTCGCACTCTGAGTATCAAAATAGGCCTCCAGAAAACTCTGAGTCTATAACAAGGCCTGCTAACTTCTCTTCCCTCCAGGGTCAGTGCAGTGATAGCTGTGAGGAAATGCTTGGTCTTTGCATTAAGAGTAGCGGCTCTAGACTTCTCTCTTTCTAAAGGTGTAGTCAGCCAACAAGTGTATTTTTGAGCACCTTCTATGTGTCAGAAATTATTCTAATTGCTGGGATACAGAGTGATATATTCCTTGCTCTTAAGAAGCTTTTGCTTGCTATGTTGTCCAGGTTGGTCTTGAACTCCTGGCCTCAAGCAATCCTTCTGCCTCAGCCTCGCAAAATGCTAGGGTTACAGGCGTAAGCCACCACACTCAGCCTCTCCTCCTTTATTGATCTCTGCTTTTGATACTCAATTCCTGTTTTTCTTCCTTTCTATGGGTATCTTTCTGCCTCTTTGTTTTCATGGATCTGACTCTCCAGTACTCTTCCTGTCTCTGCCTCTTTCTCTCTCTGTCTCTCTCTCCCCCCACCCTCCCTTCTGGCCTTCTATCCACTCCTCATCTCTCACCCCACCCCACCCTCAGGGGTTGAATGCATCGATCTGTTTCTTTTTTATTTACATGTTTTCTTTCTGGGTTGCTGGAATAAATATGACCCTTGTCATTTGAAAAAAAGAGAAACTTTATATTAGTGGGGGGAGACAATCAATAAATATCTAACAACTAACTAAATAAATCATATCAGGTATTGAGAAGGAAATAAAACCATGTCTAGCTCTGAAAACTTAAGGTGGAGACAACTAGGCTGGGTTATTCAGCTAGGCTGGTTGGTGGGTTCATTAAATAGAAAGATTGCTGAAGCAGCAAGAATAGTAACCAAAATAATAGCTTGAATATTGGAAATGACAAATAATAAAATGAACAATGGGGTAACATTGCTAATATATACTATTGTGTGAACCAGGTGACCCATTCAATCTTTTGAGTCTAGGTGAAGAAATGTGGACATGCAAAAAAAGTGAGATAAAAACTTCTGGGAAAAAAGGGAGAGAATTATGGTAGTGTTGGTATACTATCATTTCCTAACCCTGAAGTGATCCCACATTGTCCTAAAAAACCAAACCAAACCAAACCAAACCAAAACAAAACAAAACAAAACAAAACAAGACAAACACATGGTTGATACATCCAATGCTTGTTATGTGCCAAACATTCTTCAAAACACTTTACACAAATTAACTCATGTATGAAGATTACCTCACAGAGATACATATGATATTCTGCATGTTTTACATACGAAGAAACTGAGGCATAGATGGCTTAAGTAACTTTCTTCTGGTAGGCTAAATAATGTCCCCCCACTAAAAGATGTCCAAATCCCAACCTTCAGAATCTGTGAATATATTATCATATAGGCTAAAAGGGCTTTACAGTTATTATTAAGTTAAGGACTTTGAGATGTTATTCTGGATTATCCAGGTGGGCCCAATATAATCACAAAGACCCTTATAAGTGTCAGAGATGCAGATGGAACCAGAGGTCAAGGTGACGTGGCCAGAAGTCAAGGAATGTAGGCAGCTTCTAGAAGCTAGAAAAGGCAAGCAAATACAAATCCCCTAGAGCTTTCAAAAGAAATGTCTCCCTGATTTTAGCCCAGTGTAACTGATTTCAGATTTCTGGCCTTCACAACCATAACATAATAAATTTGTATTGTCTTTGTTGCCTTAAACAACTACATTTGTGGTAATTTTTTTTAAAGCAGCAATCAGAAACTAATGTATTGCCCAAGGTTATGGAGCTACAAAGTAGCAGGGCCAAGATTAAAACTGAGGCAATCTGGTACCAGAGCCAAAGATTTCACCACTGTGTTATAGGGTCTTCCAGGTAGAATACAATTTCAAGTCGAAAGCAAAATGGGGTTCTCCTAGGTGGTCTCCTATGTTTCCCTCAGAATTCCAGGTCCCCAAGAATTAGAAAAAAAAAAAAAAAGGAAAGAAAGAAAGAAAAAAGAAAGAAGGTCCTATACTAGCTGGTATGTACCAATTCTGTTCCCTGCTGTGTGTCTTTAGTCCTGGACCCGATAATTTACTGATATAAACCACTCATATTAGGGATGAGAAATTTGGGGACCAAAGAGTTATGATTTTGAAGTTACTGGGCTGGGTGGCGAAATAACCAGCTAGCTACATGAAGGGCGATGGAGAGACCCACTAATCTCAGAGCCTGTGTGGAACCTGAGGGATGAGGTTGTGTGGCAAGTGAAGACCAAAGGATCCGGGCTTCCTGATACTTGTATTTATTCATTTAGTAAGGGTGGAAGAAGAAATGCTAATTACACATTTAACCAATGTAATACCTCTGCAAGGATTGAAAGCTCTCCTTGTAACAACGTTATCAGCTTGTCATATTATATTCCCAAATTTTAGCCACCTTTACATCTTGGTCCCTGTCCCCAACTCTTTAACAAGGCATGTAGGACACAGTGGGCACTTATAAATATTGATGGAATGAAACTGAGTGTTTACAGTATCATACTTAGACAAGTACTTTTTAAACGTTCACGTGCATGGGAATCCCCTGGGGACTTCGTTTAAATGCAGATTTAGTGTTAGAAGTTCTGGTTGGGGCCTGAGATTGAGCATTTCTACTGAATTCCTTCCTATATGATGCTGATACTGCTGGTCTATGGTCTATGTTCTTTAAAGTCTCAGAAAATGAGACTTCCCTATCCATGTACACAAACTGTGATTACTTAATGAAAGTTTACAAAGGTAGCATAGAAGTAGATATTTCCTCTTTTAGGCACCTCTACTTTCCCAGTAAAGGGAACAGATTAGATGCCAAGGTTGAATGGAAAGAGTTGGAACAGCGTTCCAACTCCCTGCTCCAGGCGCTCTGCTCCCGTCTTAGAGACAGGGGAAGAGGTAGTGAGAGGAAGTAGGGAAGTGTCCGGGAGCGCCCACGCTGACGTTCCCCTTCCATTTCCAGCTTTTTAAGCAGCATCTGCCCCACTGAACCACCGAGGTCATGGGCGAACACACCCCAGCGCCGCGCCGCGCCCCCCTCCGCGCCCTTGCCCAGGCGGAGGCGGCCGACGCGCCTGCGTGCGCACTTAGTATAAATAGGTCCCAGGCGGCGGCCACTGGGTAGAACCGGGCAGCGGGCGCCGCGGGCCATGGCGGGCGAGGACCACCAGTGGCAGGGCAGCATCCTCTACAACATGCTTATGAGCGCGAAGCAAACGCACGCGGCTCCCGAGGCACCCGAGGCACGGCTGGGGGGTCCGTGCTGGGGCTGCTCGTGTGGCACTGAGCCCCGGGTGGGCAGAGAGGGGCTGCTGGGTGGGCGGGCCGTGGCGCTCCTGTACCGCTGCTGTTTTTGCGGTGAAGACCACCCGCGCCAGGGCAGCATCCTCTACAACATGCTTACGAGCGCAAAGCAAATGTACGCGGCTCCGGAGGCGCCCGAGGCGCGGCTGGGGGGTCCTTGCTGGGGTTGTTCGTGCGGAGCTGAGCCCGGGATGGGCAGAGAGGGGACTCAGGGCGGGCGAGCCGTGGCGCTCCTGTACCGCTGCTGCTTTTGTGGCGAAGACCACCCGCGACAGGGCAGCATCCTCTACAGCTTGCTCACGAGTGCAAAGCAAACGCACGTGGCTCCGGAAGCGCCCGAGGCACGACCACAGAGCGCGTGGTGGGAACGCTCCCACTGCGCTCAGAGGCTGGGGGGCAGAGAGGGGATACCAGGCGGGCGGGCCGAGGCGCTCCCGTACCGCTGCTGCTTTTGCGGCGAAGACCACCCGCGGCCGGGCAGCATACGCTACAGCTTGCCCACGAGCGCAAATCAAACCCGCGCGACTCCAGAGGAGCAGCCGGGGGCCCCCTGGTGGGACATCTCGTGTGGTGCGCAGCGTCCGGTGGCACTCAAGAGTCCACAGGTGGTCTGCGAGGCAGCCTCAGCGGGCCTGTTGAAGACGCTGCGCTTCGTCAAGTACTTGCCCTGCTTCCAGGTGCTGCCCCTGGACCAGCAACTGGTGCTGGTGCGCAGCTGTTGGGCGCCCCTGCTCATGCTTGAGCTGGCCCAGGATCGCTTGCACTTCGAGACCGTGGAGACCTCGGAGCCCAGCATGCTGCAGAGGATCCTCACCACCAGGCGGCGGGAGACCGCGGGCGACCAGCCACTGTCCCTGTCCACGCAGCAGTCACATTTGGCACCGCCGCCGCCGGAGGTCGCGCAGTTGCCCTCTGCCGCCCAGGTCCAAGCCATCAAGTGCTTCCTTGCCAAGTGCTGGAGTCTGGACATCAGCACCAAGGAGTATGCCTACCTCAAGGGGACCGTGCTCTTTAACCCGGGTAAGGGTGCTGGCCTTGGGCGCCGGCTTTTCCCAACTCAGAAAAGCGCTGGGCAGTGCCTACTCCGGAGCACAGACAGTAAGGTGTTTTCAGTGGTCAGGAAAGAGTCGGAGCAAAGGTGAAGAATAGCGACTAACTCAGTAGAGTTGGGGTAAAGGGTCCAGGGACCAAAGTCAGCTGGGGGAGGGGGGGTGGCGTGTTGGGTTTGTACTTCATCTGTTACTGCAGAAAAGTTTATGCCTTCAAGGGACATGGCTATTCCGTCTCCAGTTTTCTTGTAAATCCAGTAGCATAGCTTTGATAAAAAGTTTTTGCTCATTGAAAATTCTGCAACATCTCTTTCTGAAACCTTGTTTTGAAATTTACTAGAACCTTTTTGTCGGAGGAAATCAATTAAAGCTGGTAAGAAAGGAAACATTTGTTAAGGACCCCATAGAGAGATCATCCTCTGGGAGACATTGTCAGACAGGACACTGGACTTAGTGTTTTACCGATCTGCCTCTGAATGATCATTTGTATGATGCGAAGCATCTGGACTATCTCATCCTCCAAATCTCTGTGAATATCAGGGTGGTAAAGGGATAGGAAAAAAGCCACAGTAGGAACTGACGGAAGGGGCACTGCATTATAAAACTCAAAGAGACTTTAGAGACCTCTTAATCAACCCATTTGCTCTGCACCCTTCTCCCATTCCATTTTACAGAATAGGTAGATGCAACCCAATTGACCTTATGACTGGTGTGTTGTGGCACCTAGGAGCCTTGTCTTCTGAGATTTTGGCTGCACCATACTTTGAGGTTGTCTGTTGGGTGCTGGACATGCTGCCCCACAGAGTACAACCACATAATGGCAGAACATCTCCCTGGACAGTCCGGCACCTTGTCTTGGGTATTTCCTACTACTAGAATCATCTTCAATCAGTGTTCTTCCAAAATGATCACAAGTGGGAAGGAGGTTTCCAGGCAACTTGACCTGGGATAGTTTTATAATATTCCTTCTGCATCCCTTTTCCTTGGTTGCCAGGAGTCTCTGGTTATGCCCCTGTCCCTACCTAGCATTTTTAAAAAGGTGAATAGATCAGTGTTTGGTAGGATAATAATTTATTCAGACCTCACATTTCATCATCTAGAAACCTGAGCTCATCCCAGTGATTATTGTATGTAGATCACTCTTTTGCTTATACCATTGTTTTCCAAACTTGCTTGTGCCTAGGAAGAACTTGTGTGTGTATGGTGGTGGGGGCGGGGAATAAACAGTTTTCCAGGCTCCTCCCCTAAAGATTCTGATTCAGTAGCTCTGACCCAGGGACTGCAAGCCTGCATTCATAAGTACCCCGGTGATTCTTAAGACCGTTTGGAAAACAGTTTTCTCAGAATTGGAATATGGATTAGAAGCAGTGCTTTTTTTTTTTTTTTGCTTTTATTTTATGTATAATAGAAATGTCTCTTACCTATTACCATCATTATTTTTTAAAGAACATGAAATAGTTCTTCTCTGTGATGATTAGCATGGTGCTTTAAAAATATTTTTTCTGTTGAATTTTGTAGAAAAGAAGAAGGAAAATGATTGCAATTATCATTAACATTATTGAAACAAAATGATAAACTGCTAAATACAAATTAGAGAACTTTGCAACAATATTGGTGTCATGGAGGATCAAAAGACTTTCAAAAGCAGCCTTCACAGTCCACCTTTGTTATGAAACTTACATGCACCATGCACGTAATCTTTCCTGCATTGTATTTCATTCACCTTTTCTTAGGAATCACACCATACTGCAAAAGGTCATTCGTTTTCTCTTGGAAAAGTTACTTGTGAACCATGTTCCATGAGTTTTTTTATGTTTACTTTTTAACCTTTTAATGACTAGGAGAGAATGCTTTCCAAAACTTTTTTTCTTTGGTATTTTTGAAAAGAGTCTTTTGAAACACTCATTAGAATCACTCTTTTATTTTAACCTTCTCTGATACAGAAATCATGGTACAATTGAACTAAGTGGTCAGCATTAGCTTCCAAATTATTATGGGCTTCTAGACTAATATTGGTTTTGAGGCAAATAAGTAAAATGAAACTTGTGAGTCATGGTTTGTGGCTGTGAAGTTTACCACTATTGACTGGGCAACCAGTATAATGGTTGGAAATTTGAGAAATAGTAAAATATTTGTCATTTGGCAACACTTCTTTTTTAAAATGGCCTGTTTCCCAGAGGTAAAAGGTAAAGTGCTAATGTCTCAAAATAGTATTAATTTCTTCATATTTGCAACTGGAGCAATGATTCATTAAAGTATATTCTACTGTCAAATTAAGGGTGCGCTTATTGGCTCATGGCCAGTGTTTTTAACGTGTGTATACAAACACTGAATATTAAATAAGAATAATTACATGGTGTTTCATTCTTGGATGTGTTGCTTCTGAAAACCTAGAACTGGTTTGGCATTTTACCCTTTTAAACCAGGGAGCTTGAGCTCTTGTTTAATTGAGAAGAGACTGAAATGGATATATTTAAAATGCTAGCAAAGGACTCTTGTGAGCTGTTTATAACAAACACATTTTTCTCCCTCCAGACCTGCCAGGCCTGCAGTGTGTGAAGTACATTCAGGGACTTCAGTGGGGAACTCAGCAGATACTCAATGAACACGTCAGGATGACGCACAGAGGGCACCAGGCCAGATTCGCTGAACTGAATAGTGCCCTTTTCCTGCTGAGATTCATCAATGCCAATGTCATCTCTGAACTGTTCTTCAGGCCCATCATTGGCACAGTCAGCATGGATGATATGATGCTGGAAATGCTCTGTGCAAAGATATGAAGGCATGTGGGCCACATGAGTATAGTTCACCATGAAGGAGAAATAGAGTGCTGTGGGCAAAAGTGTGTAAGATATTGTATAATAAACTTTCTTATTATTTTTACATGCATAGTCTTTTTGTATTCAATTAGAGAAATACTTCTGTTCCACACAATTAAAAAAAATACTCTGTTCCATACTATTTCATTGCTGAGGAAAACATTTGCCAATAGGTAACATATCTCCGTACATCTTTAAGGAAAGAACAGTGCGCTACACTAATAAGCTATTTTTACAGGTCTAGAGACTATGAAACCTCAAATCAAATTTTTATTATTAAGTTATCATAAATTTTAAGGTCTTAATCATTAATTTGATTGAAAAACGTTTCATAAGGGTGGAAGTAAGTCTTCAAAAATTATTATTATTATTATTATTATTTTGAGTTGGAGTCTCACTCTGTCACCCAGACTGGAGTGCAGTGGCTGCTCCCGGCCACCGCAGCCTCGACCTGCTGGGCTCTGGCGATCCTTCCGCCTCAGCCTTCCGAGTAGCTGGAGCTACAGGCGCACGCTACCACGCCTGGCTAATTTTTTGATTTATTGTAGAGATGAGGTCTCGCCAAGTTGCCCAGGCAGGTCTCGAACCCGCGGGCTCAGGCAATCCACTCACCTCGGCCTCCCAAAGCGCGGGATTACAGGCTGAGCCACCGAGTCCGGTTTCAAAAATTATCAAAACCTAGCCAACATAAGCAAAAAGTATCTTTATAAGTAACATCATGACATTTAATGTAGTTACATGTCAGTGTCAGTGAGAGATGACTTTATCTTCATTTCCGCTTCCATCAGCTGTATGGAAGACTGTCTTTGCATGCAAGTGGGGCAAAGAAGCACTCTCTGATCATAAAGTTACTTGAAAGTGAAAAGATTTTCAGTGTTTTATTTTGGGATTTTTCTGTATTCAGTTATAGATTTAAAGTTCCACAAGAAACTTATACTCTATAAGGAGAGGTTATAGTTCCAGAAATCTCAAACAGCATCCTAATCCCCTAATTGTACCTCAGTGTTTTTAGATACATTGTCTTTGTAACTGGTATAGTCAGTAAGCATGACATGAAATTGTAAAGCAACTTTATTGTTGGCCCCTGTTGTCCCCTTTCATTATAATTCACAGAACTAGCTTTTTGTTTGTTTGTTTGTCTCCAGATGAAATTTAGGGTACTATGCACTCATTCATTTATGGATAATAAATTGCCCGCTAGTAACTAGTGAATCTAGTCCAGTATAATAACCCATTGCAGGAAATCTTAAACCATTTTTTGTGCAGACCGCTTCTTTGTACAGTCTAGGAATCCTATGGATGTCTGCTTAGAATCAGCCTTTCAGCACATTAAATAAGAAACTAACTGGCGGCAAGTCTAATAGTTACCTTAATTTCAATTCAGTGATCAGTATAACTGAAATTTCAAGATATCTGCAACATCTGTAATGCAAGAAGGAAATATCTGAGATTTTCACTGGTAATTGTGTTGGGGAACCCCAATATCACCACCCCATTTGGAGATTTGCTGGGTCTTATGGGCTTCAGCATATAGTTGTGTTCAGGGCTAAGAGTTATTACAGTGATGTAGTAAGGACACATAGCTAGATCATAAGGGGAAACGACACAGGTGGGGTCTAGAAGAACCCATGTATAGGCCTTCTTATGTTCTCTTCCGTGAGGGGTCATACAGAGTTCACTCTTCCCTCAGTAATGGAAACTCAGCAACATGTGTGTGATATTTCTGTTCAGGGAAAGTCTTTGGGATTCGGAATTTAGGGTTTCTATTGAGGGCTGGTCACATAGACACCCTCTACCTCACATGTACCAAAATTCCAAACTCACAGAAAGCAGGTGCTCAACAGAAACCACATTGTTTGCACAGTCAAGGCACAATGAATCACCCTTATGAGTTGGGGAAGGGTGAGTGCACTCAAAAAATTAAATTAAAGTTTCCAGGTTACATATAATGGACCAATTCACCTGGTCTGAGGCATGAACTCAGGCTCAGCACAGCTCTGGCCAATAAAGTGAAACTGACCCCAACGTTTTCAGGACTGAGGAGCTGTCATGATAGCTACTCCCCCCGCCCCACACAAGCACACTACAATCCCTGAGGGCTTATGTGGTCCCCTGAAAACAAAAAGTTGATGTTAGGGTACTCTGAGCAGGATATGCATTGGTTAGGCACAATGTGGTCTTTCCCAATGATGCCTCCTGCCCCAGGGTGCTCTTTGGTTTCAAGTGGCCTGACTGAGGACGTCAGTTCCAAACAGTTCTGTCAGCGACACTAGTTCAATCTCCTGGCAAATATGGACAGCATCTGAAGGTGTTTTGCAGGGACTGAGCAAGAGCTGGCCCACCCCTGATGACTCCTAGTTAACACTGTTATCTGCCATCTAGACTCAGCCATTGGTCTGAGTCCAAAGCACTTATAGAGGCTTACAAAAACAGAAGATGAATTTTCTTCAGAAAGAGGGGACAGCTTCCAGAAGCAGTTCCAAAAAACAAAAATAATTTATGCCCTACTCCCTCCCTCAAGCCACCTTGGGTGACAGGTTTATTTTTTCTTGGTTGTTAGAAAATTAGTGTGTCCTATTCAATAATCATAACTTTACAATTTTTCCTACTAATTTCTTATTTTTACCCAGATCTTACATCTGGAAAGTTTGTCTGTAAGAGGGATACAAGCATTTTCACAGAATAGCATTTTAATAGAACTTAACCAGAAAGATACATCATGTTCAGGGTAAAATCCTGATTTATGAATACTTTTTTCAAAATAGATTTACATACCTCCTTCACATGCCTTCTGTCCTGATCATTATCCAGTGAACAACCTGGAAAAGATCAATTCCTTTCTGGGGACAGCTGCATCGAAAGATCAAACTGCCTTACTGTGGTGCATGCAGCAGGAGAAAGGTGAGGGAAGTAGAGTCAGGCTATTAGTCCATTGTTGCAAACTGCATCTAACCTGGAGAGTGAAACACAAGTCAGCAGCAATGAAAAATCCCTGAGAATCTGATCTATCAAGAGAGAGCAGAAAGGTCACATTCCCTGTGGCGTGACTTGCCCCAAATTGCAGCTTTCAGCAGAAAACCCAAGTCAGGAATACAACCAGGCTTTTGTCTCAGAAATATCGAGTAGGCCAGCAGCTCCATTCCAAATGGTCCCATTAGAGAACAAGCCCTTTCCCTAGGGCATCTGCAAGTGACCTAGATGGTTCAGTCAGCATCAATAATGTTTCACAGTTTATGACTCCACAGTATCTTATATTTGCGGCAGTCCCAGAGACTGAATTCTGTTCATTGAGCCTGAGCCTGCTTTCAGTTCAGCACAGTTCGGTGCTGACATTGAAATAGCCGAGAGCAGGCAGTATCAGGTTTCAGCTTAAGAGTCAGGTCCAGCAAATCAGGATCTGTGAATTCATTATTACAAAAGAGGCAGAGGTTTTTCTTCTGCAGCAGCAGGGCTAAGATGCTATAAGGCCAGATACCTGTGTTTCAAGCCCAAGTAACAATCAAGGCTTTCCTAAGCACTTGTTACCCTGTCAGGTCAGATTATCCAATTTGACCCATGCAAAAATGTGCACATGAGGTCAGAAAACTATCAGCCCCCAAGGGTCAGAAGTCTGATTTCACAAGACCTCATTAACAAAAACAAACAAAAACCCTCAAGACCCCATCCCCCCCGCCCCCAAACCTGCTTTTTAAAACTCCAAAAGTATATCTTCATTTGGAGACTGGCTTCTTTTTCCAGAAGCTCCAATAGGCAAAATTATCGCAAACAAACACAAAACCAAAATAATCTGTTACTCAGCCTTGTTTCCAATATCATGAGTTTAAATTTCCATCCATCCACCTGTGGCAAAAAAGCAAGGGAGCTGTGTTCCATTAACACATTTTTTTTCTTTACAGCTTTTCTTGATTGAGATGACCTCTCTAGCATTTATGAAATTATAAGCATATTACATTTTACATCAACTTTTATCATGCATTCACATGCAATAGCCACAAATGCAAAGCTGTGAATTAAAATTCCCTTTCTTTTCTCATTACAAATTTACTCTAATTCCTAGCAGTAAATTAGCCATTTACAGGGTTCATATCACAGCTGCCAGGAGAACCCAGCTGGAATGGAAGGGAGGGAGAGGGAAGCAGCAGCGGCTAGGCTGAGAAAATGGCAAAAGTGGATTTTTCCCCTTTCTTTTTTCTTTCTGCTTTATCTAAGTACTCGCTCCAGCCCTGGTAACACATTTATCCTTTTTAAATTCCTACTTGAAGGAGAGAGCAACTACAAAACTTTTATGGTACTTAGCCCATCCAAAGCCTGCTGTGGAGAATTTGGGGGCTGTTTCTCTTTCTGTGAGGGTGTGGGGTTGTAGAGACCACAAAAAGCAAAATCGTCACCTGGGCTGTGCTATTTTCTGCTCACTTTAGCAGAGCTAACTTTGTATGGTCAAAAGCATCTAGGGGATTCAGGGAGCCAACTCTCTTAGAGAGGGATCTATAATTTTCAAATGCCACAGGTAACTTTTTACTTCTGACCACAGACAGCAGCCCAACTGCTATTTCCTACTATGGTCAACTCTTTAGCCATTCACATGCCAGAGTTTTATCAGTCTTTTCCCTTTTTCTTTTTTCCCCCAAACAATACTGTAGCTGTATTGTAGTGAGTTGAGGTCATTCTAGCAAATCCCAGCACTGCCACCATTATGTGAATTGTCCCCGAGACCACTCTCACCTTCAGATATTCACTGAAAGTTCTCAAAGCACTCCACATGTGATTGTACTCACAGTTGTACATTACAGTGATGTAGTAAGGAGACACGGCTGGTTCATAGTGGGGAAAGACACACATGGAGCCTGGAGGCATCTGTGTGCAGGCCTCCTCATGCTTTCTTCCTCCTGTGAGGAGTCACACAGGGTGCACTCCTCCCCCAGCAATGAAAACTCAGCAACATGTGTGTGGTGATTTCTGCTCAGGGAAAACCTTTGAGATTCAGAGTCTAGAGTTTTTATTGAGGGTTGGTCATATAGGCATGCACCAACATTTCAAACATAGAAAGAGAATAGGTGCTCAGAG